CATTCCTGCAAAGATTAATGATGTTCACTTTTTTCTGTGTACTTACAGACATTTGTGTATCTTCCTATGAGAAAGGCTTTTGTCCATTTCTAAAAATTGGTTGCCTTATTCTTATTGAATTCTAGGAGTTCTTTATATATGATGGATACAAGTGTTTTGTCAGATATGTTTTTTGAACTTTTTGTTCTCAGTCTCTGGCATGGCTACTTGTTTTCTTAATGGTGTCTTTTGATAAACATTCATTTTTCATTTTCATGAAGCTTAATTTATTGACTTTTTCTTCTATGGTGTCCTGACTCTATCCTGTGTTGCATCTACAAAATCTTTGTGCCTTGTGTAAGAAATCTCTGCTTTCTTCCAGGTTGCAAAGGACTTTCTCCTGTATCTTCTTCTAAGACCTATAGGGTTTCAGTGTTTTTGTTTAGGTCTCTAATCCATCTCAAATGGATTTTTGTGTATGGTGTGAGGTAGGGATCGACGTTCATTTACTCATCCCCACGTGGATATCCAGATGTTTCAGAACAATGTGTTGAAAACTTTCTTTTCTCCATTGGATTGCTTGGATCTCTTTGACAAAAACCAATTGACTGTATATGTGTGGGTCTGTTCTAGAATGCTCTATTCTAGCCCATCAATACATTCAGCTATCTTTATGCCAATAGCACTCTGTCTCGATTAATTTAGTTTTATAGAAAGTGTAAAACTAAATAGAAAGTTTTATAGAAATCAGGCAGTGTAAATCCTCTAGCTTTGTTCTTTTATAGGACTGTTTAGACTATCCTAAAGTCCTTTGTATTTCCACATCCACTTTACAATCACCTTGTCAATTAAAAAAAAAAGTCTGTTGGAATTATAATAGGAACTGTAGTGACGACAGTTTAATCTGGGGGAAAACTGACATCTTAACAATATCATTTCCAACCCACAAACATAGTATGCACTTTCATTTATTTAGGTCTTTAATTTCTCTCAGCAACATTTTGTAGTTTTATCATAGAGGTTTTAGAATTTAGGAAGCTTGGGACTACTGTTTTTTTCAATTTTTTTTTTTTTTTTTTTTCCTGCCTTATTCTCTCTCT